GTGGGTTTGTTCCTTGGTAGTATCTCACACCTTACCCTGGGGTTCCAAACCGCCCTTATCCTAAGCTGGTCAAAAAGAATACACAAGATGACATCATGCACTTCCTTTTCTCATCGGTTGAAAGGAGGAATAGGTGATGGTTAGGAAGAGACTGATGACTAGCTTCATGTGCGGAAATAAGGAACAGAATGACTAAGGGTTCTAATGGGAGAACCTACAGACAAGGCAGGGAGGTTACGGTGTTAGGGAGTGACTTGCGCTGCGGACAGACCCATTGCGTTCGGTAGTGACTTCCTTCGCTCGTATAGCCTAGGTAGCCTCGATCAGAGGATGGCGATGCAGATTGGGATGACTACCCCAGTGAACAGATTCAGAGTGCTCGAAAGCCTAAGACAAAAGGAAAGAAGCAAGACCTAAACAAGGAATATAGCACTCCCGCGAAGAATGTGCTAACGCGTAGCAAAGCAAAGAAAGGCTCCATTGGATATCTTTCTATAGTATATATCTTTCTCTCTTGAGATAGAAAGGGAATCGGCAGCTAGCAATAACTTAGAGAAGAGGCTAGAGACCTTTGCTACTTTTAGAAAGGGAACGAAAGCTCGAACTTCTGGGCTACGTTTTAGAAACAATAGCAACACAGAGCAGAGCAACAGACACTCGAGGCAAAGAGCCTCGGTGAGACCTAAGCCTATAAGACTGGATACTCCTCCTAGGCTAGTTGGCACAGGGTTTTCGCTTGATACACCAAGTTAGAGAGTGTGGGAATAGCTTGATCCTTAAATGATCTTGGCCAGCTGCTTCGCCAATCTGACCAAAAGAGGCCCTTATCACGTAGCTTCACCTCAAGTTCAAAAGAATGAAACATCGTTCTTTTCTTTGAGCCCATTTCCCCTTTGCTTTCTCTTATCCCTAATCTTCTTGCATTTCTTTGAAGAAGTTGCTGTACTATTTGACCATATTTCGTATCCCATTTCAAGTTGATTCAGACTTGTTTTATAATCTAAATATGCTTCTTGTTCCGAGTAGAGCACTATTAAGCTTGCCTGAGGTTACAACTTTTCTCACATTGGGAAATTTCCTTTATAGCGTCACCCTATTCTTACCTTGGGCAACTAACCTAGCCTTATTTCTTCTAACAATGAGCTCAGAGCACGAAGAGCTGCGGCTCGCTCTGAGCCGGTCGCCGCCGGCTAAGGCCCATTCTTCACTTTTCAAGAATCAAGAGGGAACGTAAGCATGGGGGGAATGTTTTCTTTATCCAACAAGTTTTCGTTCGTAAATAGATATGGATTCACAAAGTTTTGCAAGGAAGGGCACCAGCTACAAAAGATACCAAACCAAGAAATGGAAAGCAAACAAGCTCATCCGGATAATAAAGATTTTTTGAAGAAAATCGCACACGAGAGTCAGATAGTAGGGCGACAAACCAGAGATTTCGTTCACCCCCGACTTCCGAAATCTCTCTTGTATTTCTATCTTTTGGGACTCCCTGCTTTGCGCTGACCTTTTTGCGAGGTCGTTACAAATGCATCCTTCCCGTAGCCCTGTACTCTGTGCCTCATTTTGGAATGTTTCAGAGTAGGATCTCTTGCCTACTTGCATCTGAACTATTGGATCAAGTGTTTTCGCTCATAGAATGGCTGCCCTCAACGATCGATTGCTGTCTCTTCCGTGGTGTTAGGCGTGCCTCAGCAGGAAGAATGGCGGGAAACTCAGTAATGTATCGAATCAAACCTTGTCTGAGCAGAGTTCAGATTCTGCGGCTCATTCTCTGCCTGCTCCAGTGCAGCAGCAAGCGCAGGCACTTACGCCATTACGCTTGGCTTGTCCTTCCATTTGTTTGGATCGAAAGAGCTTCTATTCCCATTCTCGTTCAGCTTGGTCTATATTGACCTATTTCTATCTTGTACTATAAGACTATCCCGGAAGCAAGATATTATGCATACTAAGATCTTGCTCTGGGCGAATCACATATTGTGCGCACTTACCCCTTGTTTTATTATTTTAGAAATTGAATTTCTGTTTTATCGACTTATTTCATATCATGGTTCAAGCGTTAAAAATCGGCGAGGTTTACTACTACTTTTCGAAATCCGAAGAAGTTTCCATAGAACTCTTGTCAATGGCTTAATCAATTACTTCTTCGTAATGCTAAAAACAAATTGGGATTCATGTTGGAAATAATCAAAAATCTAGGAATTAGAACCATAAGAATAAGAGTTGCCTTTCGATTATCTTAGATTGATCGGAACAAATAGATGTACCAAAGAAATAGAATTGGGTACTATGTAGATATCAATTCCATATATGGAATTGGAATCTACATATATGAAGAGTATTGTAGATTGATCTATATTAAGCCCCTATCTTTATTATAGAGTACGACTTTATACACTACAATAACACTAATAGATAGTATATGGTAGAAATAAATATTCGTATATTTATTTCTACCATACTATCGGATCTCATAGAATACTGCTAATTCTAATCCGCTCAT